TCTCAAAAAAATTAATCAAAATCAAAGTTCCATTTCAGTCTGACAAAATATAAGCAGTAATGAACAACATTCTACGCGCATTTAAATTTTTCCAGAAGTTTTCCTTTGTCTTCAGCAATCAAAATCATTATTTCTCTGACCCATTGCATGGCTCTTCAGAGCAACAAGATATAAGAAGGCCATTTTTTGTCCAGATTGCAACAGATTTTCAATCTGCTGGTTTAGCTGTTTGAGGTGGTTTTCTTTTCCTTAAGTCACAGTATCACTAAGCCACTGTGCAAACAACAGGAGGTTTAAACAACATTTATGAAGACATTTTTACCACACCCATTTTCATGGTATTTGAGTGCCATGAATGGATGGCAGTGCTGCGGAGGGTTAGGATGGCTGCCTGTATGCTGGGTGAAGAAATACCTTTGGCCCCTGTTTGCTGTGCTTCCAGATGAATGTCACCAACATACGAGCACTGGCTGTTCCAGCTGGTGTTTCCAACAGCCTCACCCAAGGCCTGATCCATCCCTCACTCCAGTCAATGGCAAGCCCCAGTCCAGCTCACTGGGAGCTGGACCCAGCTCTCAAGCTCTGATTGCAGCAACAGCACCATGAAATTATGGTTGTAGTAAAGTAATTCTGCACAGAGAAGTTCCTCTTTGTCTCTGAATCGTCAAATTAAAATTGCATTTTAAATGCCAGAAGCAAGAGGGGAAACAAAAAGGAGAAAGCTTATTTTATGAAAAGCCATTGGCTACATTTGAGCTTTTTACATATTTCTTTAATATTTTTCTGTCTGGGATGGCCCAAGCTCTGCAGGTTCTACTCTTACATCGTTTTATACCTTTATTTCCGTCTATTTAAACCATTCTAGAAAAAATTTAAAAACTTTATATTCAGATAACCAACCCCATTTTTGTGAAACCATCAAGTCTATTCTAGCAGATGGGCTCTGTGTTTTTATGTGCATGCACATCTCTTTGTGTATCTGAAAAAAAAAAGAAAAAGCCTATCAACAATGGCCACAATAACTTCATTTTACTGTGCTTGGCCTATACCTTCTATGTTTGTTTTCAGGTAACAGGACTTTAACATGTGCATTGCGTCTTCAATGACTAAAATAAATTAATTTCCAAAACACACTTATCCGACTAGTTATCTACCTAAACAAGGAAAAGCAATAAAAGATAAACCTCTGTGGTAATCTGCTCCACCTCAGAGCCTTAATTTCCAGGACAGCCTTACCACAGACACATTTGACAAAACTAAACCCAGATTCAGAACCCCTTAAAACAACCATAAAATTAGCTGTCTTCAGTAGCTGCACTGAAGAAAAAAATCTCTAGTAGGCGAAGGCCATGTAGTCTGCACAATTTGGGAGGCAAACATTTAGGAAATATTGCCAGAGGTTCTTTCAATTACTCTTTTAACAAAGGGGGGGAAAAAATCAGCAGCTTAAACACCTTATTCTAAATATTTAAAACCAATAGAGGAAGTAATGGATAAACCCCATTTCTGCTATACCCCATAAAGTATGGCACTTTCAGTTCAGAGTGAAAGAAGAAACAAACCAATTACTGTTTCTTTTAAATCATTAAACAGATTAATTTCTTCCTCAAGCAGCTGAAGCCAAAATAAGAAGCCACATAGTGAATATTTCTCTGTATCAAACAGTCTCCAGGCTCAACTTGTGGCTTCTAACTCAGGCTGGATGTGTAAAAAAACTTCTCTCTACTTATTTTGATTAACTTGCCATGGGCAATTCACAGAAGTCTGACAGACGCTTGATTCTTTGTGAATTAGTTATTCCACTCCTTTTCAATACATCTTTACGTCCCTTCTTTTTAAAAACATAATATAGCCATTAGTAAATCCTAGCTGTGCTGCCCCATCCTATTCTTCTCCATAGCATAAAGTGTCCCACACTTATGCTGCCTCCATTCTTTCGCATCCTCTCCCTCTTTTAAGTATCTTTCACCACCAGATTGGCATTGGCAGCCAGCCAACCAGTCGGCACTTTACCTAGACAAGTGCTATGCTGATCTGCCTAGATCTTTGAAGTGTCACACAACAAGTCCAACAAGTTAGTTTTCCTCCTATTTTAATACTTTTTGCAGAGGGCCTCAGCCACCAAAGTACATTTCCCATCAGGTTTGGGGTTTGACTTTTTTTTTCAAAATAGCTCCTTTCTGTGCAAACTTCTGCTGATGACTTCCTTTTTGAAATGCTTTGACCTCTATGGTATTTTTGAGAATATGCGTGAGAAATGCCTTTGCGAATGATATTACATTATACCTAAATTAGGTATACACCCCAGGAACTCCAGTTCACAAAGTCATGGTTGGATTGGTTAATGCCATTTTTAATGAGTACTGATGTGGCATGCTGCCTGGATCAAAGTGCAGGGAGCTGTTACTTGTCACTGCTTCCCATTACAGCACATTTTGAAGAGGGACATGGCAATGAAACAAGGAGGGTATATTTAAAGAAAAATAACATGCATCAGGCTGATAAAATGACAAAAACATAAGGGAAAAAAGAAGACAAGAAAAAATAAAGTATAGTTTGTGCTGTCTTTTGCAAGTTCTCCCATATCTGAACCCACTGGGTACTGATTTCATTTTATTTCATTACCACATCTGAAGCTGCACTGATAGTAAATCACGAGCAGAGCCTAATTTACAAAGTTGTCCAGTGGAGCAGTGAAGGCATTGCCCTTTCCTCTTATGAAAAGCTGTTTGCTGCCATGGGGGGCTGTCTCTTCCCAGGGAAGAAACCATGACCTTCTGGGATAACTGTCTTTTGTAGGAAATAATTTTTTGCAGGCAATTCTCAGCCTCATCTTTTTGCAAATTATTATGTTGCTCGATCTGGGAATGGTAAAACAGGTTGTGCCTGTAAGAAGTCTCTCCTTTTGGATGTTGCTTCTTTCGTGCAATTATATTCAAAACTCCTAATCCTACATTGCTGCTCACAGTGACACTGGCCTGCCTTTTATATTCACTTAAATAGCAGAAGTTACATTAGGAGACTTCCTACATGCCATATCACCCATGTGTGTGCCAAACACGTGCGACTTCAGGTTAGCTTCTTCCACCAGGCAGGATCCCTTAGCAATAACCTGCTCATCCAACTTTCCCACTTTCCCACATCACCTTTCTCTTCTCCGTCTAACACGCACTTGCACACCCAGCGTTATGTTACTGATAACCCTGACAGTGACTTCTCTAAAGGGGAGGCAACTCACAGACCCTGATCTGAAGTACATCACAGGTCCTCAAGATTCAGAAATGCAGATGTTTGTACTGTATTTTGAGTGGATATTGTTGTTTTCCTTACTCACTGTATCTGACTCACTTACTGAACCTGCAGATAAAGAAAAATTACTTGTGTGTCTCTGCTATAGTAAGAATAAATCAGAATTTTGACCTGGATACACAACACTTTTTCCCAATGCAGTGTGTCTACAGCATGAATCACCTCCCTTCACACTCTCACCTGACAAACACCTCTGTTGCAACTACAGGAGAAGACGATGAGCAACCAACGTGGGGTAAAGGCATTTTTACAGCCTTACCCAGTGTTATTTGATCGTGTTCATGGACACCTGTTTCTTGGAGGATGTTGCCTTTCTCTGTCCATGTCTATCCAGGTCATCGAGAGGATATCTGATCACTACAGGCTTGCACAAACCACCACCAAGTGCTCCAGAAAACACCCTTTCTGGCTGGAAAGATATTTGTGTGAAGGCACAAGTGTAAACCTGGAAATCCAAGGCATCGGAGCGCAGACTGACTCACCACTTACTTGCTTCTGACTCAGTTTCCTCCCTATATAAGTGAGAAAGATTAAGTTTATTCTTCCTTCTCAAGGGACTTGGAAGGAATCAACATTGTTTGTATTTCTTTATAAGCATGCAGCATGTAAACACTTTAGCTCAGTTAGCTAAGTTATGTTGATTTTCTCAACATTTCCTCCAATTTGTTACACACTCTTTGCCATGAGGCCCTACTGCTGAGCCCACAACACTAAACACAAACTGGAAAATATGACATCCCTATCCAGAGGACATCACAAATGAAAAGTACCGTGATTAAACTCAGGCACGAGTCACTCACAGGTACATTAACTCCATGCGTGTTTGCATGACCAGGGCCGAAGACTAGAGAAAAAAGCAAAACTAATCAACAGCAGACATTGGGGAATGCGTGCAGGAGAGTGGAGCACCAAAGGCATCCTTGACACGCATTTTTAGCTTATAAAATGCCTGATTTACATGGAAAGCAGTAACTACACAGAGGTTTCCTTTCGAAGAGAGGACGCACACCAACTTTCTTTCTCTTCAGCTTACGGTCGCGACGGCAAAGCCCCGCTTCGCACCCCCAGGGAAGAGAGATTCCGGTCGGCCCCGGGAGCCGCAGCCCAGCCGGCACCTCCCTGCCCGCAGCCGCGGGAGGACGGAGCAGCCGGGCGCGCTGTCCCACGCGATCCCCAGCCCGCCCCGTGCACATCCCAGCCGCCGCCCGATGGCAAAGCCCCGGGATGCCCGGTGCCCACACAGCGCGGCGGCCGCTCCGTGCCGCTCCCGCCCCGGGGACCCGCCCGGCCGGTCCCGAGCGCCCCTTTCCCCGCCGCGGCAGCACTGCCCGGCGCTACCGCCAGCCCAGCGGCGGGGCCGCCCCCTCCCCGCCCCGGGAGGAGTCCCCACCTCCCGACCACTCCTCCTCCTGCTGCTGCAAGGGGAAATATGAAGCGGAGCCGTCGCCGCGCTGCGCGGAGACCAGCAAGGACGCGGCAGCGGCGGCGCGGGCATCCTCGGGCACCGAGCGGCAGCGACCGAGCCGGAGCCCTGCCGGGGCGGCGGCGTGCGGGGCGGGAGCCCTGAGGAGCGGGAGCCCTGAGGAGCGGGAGCCCTGAGGAGCGGCAGCCCTGAGGAGCGGCGGCGGCGGCGGCGGCCCCGGAGGTGCCCGTGGCCCCGGCCCGCCAGCCGCCTGCCCCCCAGCGCCGGGCCGTGGGCTGCCCGCGGCGGCGCTGAGGCGCGGGCGGCGCGGCGGGAGCGGCGGCGGCCGGAGCGGGCCAGGAGCGCTGCGAGCCGGGGAGATGTCCGCCCCGTACGGCAGCCTGGTGCGGTACCTGTTCCCAGCCCTGCTGCTGCACGGTGAGTGCGGTGCCGGAGCGGCTGCCGGCGGGGCTCGGTCCGCGGGGTGCCCCGAAAAGCGGCTGGGGTGCGGGGGGCCCCAGAGCCGCTCTGGTGGGGCCGGGGGGCGCGGGTGGGTGCGCTCTCCCGTCGTGGGTCCCCTGCCCGGGGCGGAGGTCGGGCAGAGGATGGGAAGCGGGCAGCCCCCCCGGCTCTGCCTGGCCGCCGTGTTAGCGGCACCCCTGCGCAGCGCGCGTACGAGCGGCGGCCGCCGGCGGGGGTAAAACCACACCGAAAGCGCCCCGCTCCCAAGTGTGTGTCGGCGGATTGTGTTGCAGCCTGGGACTCCTTGGATGGAGCAATTAGTTCGGGCACCTCACACAAAGTTTCTTTACTCACCTCCGGCAAGAGCTGGCGCTGCCGAACTCCGGCGCGTTTGGCCGAGACACCCTGCGGGGCCCGCGTTCTTCCTCTTATCGGGAAGCGGTTTTTGGCGTGGAGGTGTTACCTGGGAAGCCTTCGGTTGCAAAGTGTGCCAGCACCGGATCTTGTGCCCAACTAAAATTGTTCTGCTGCAGAGCACAAAAATTCTGGATGTTATTATGCACAGTCCTGCTTTGACAGCCTCTCAGTTTAATCCTGGACTGACATCTCTCTGAAACTGCACAGTAGGCAAAATTTTAGTGAGAAAAGTCAGCGTATTTAAACTTGAAAGTTCAGCTTGTAAATTCATTTTTAGGCCATTAAAAAGATAACCCATCTTTTCAGAAAGCCAGTTTTCTTCAAGAGAAACTTCTTTCTAAAAAGGAGGCAGTTTAATGAGCTGCTTAGGTACGTTTAACATTTGGCATCCAGATTTGAAAAATCTGTGTATGATATCCTTCTGAAACTGTGCCTCAAGTTACTCAGTCACAGCATCATTTTGAAGAGTGTTCCTAATTCTGAAGTCCTTTGTAGCATCCAGCATCCATCAGTTAAATTTCTTGGGACCCCAAGCTTAGTCCTAAAAAGAGGAATTCTTTTAACTGTTAAAATGCAAGTGACCTACATGGATTCAGTGGGAGATTTGTGAGTTGGGGTTAAGGATTTCAAAGCTATTCCTGGGGTTGATTTTGTGAAGCGAGGATTGTCTCTCTCTGTTTGTACAAGTGCTAAGCACACACTATGGTATTTAATAAATAATAAAGAGCATGGGCTTCTGATGGTATATTTTCTTTAGAGAAAGAAAGAGTAGGAGGCTCTGATCCCCAGGAGGAGGTTTATACTCTTCTCACTTCTCAGCTATGAGATCCGGAGAGCACAGAAACATGTTTCGTTGAGCCAGACCTGACAGGACGCCAGAGGTGTTCTTTAAACTCTGTGATCTGAGATGTAAAAGTTGAAATGGGAGACTTGAAGTTATAGGGTAAAGAGAGGAGGTGTAATTGCAGGGTTGGATTCCCTGGCTCATCTGCTTGGAATTACAGAGCAGAGCTGAATGCTGGCTGGAGCAGGAAACAAATCAGGGCTAGTGATCAGATCAAAACAGCAGCTGCCAAAAGAGGATGATGAAGGAAAGTCATCCATTTCTTCCATCTGCAGTTATATTTCACCAAATAACATAAACCAAAGTTCTTGTAGAAAGACACAACTCACTGCCTTCTATATGAAGACAAGTACCTTGGTAATGTAGCAGTTCACAGTTTTTGGATCAGAGTTTCAAGAGTTTGGAAACTACTGCCCTCTTGCAAACTTGAAAATTGTATCAGTGGCACTAAAACATAGCTCATGGAAATGTGTTTACCCTGTTAGCTTTAACTTAGTCTAGAGCTTTTCCATCCATGCCATAAAGTCAGTAGAAGCATCCTTTGATCAGTGGCTATCCTGAATTACTAATGCGTAAGAATAACCAGCAGTCCCAGGGGGATTGCAGTGTTAAGCCTCTTTGCAGCATGCAGTGTTTTCTTTCTGGATTTCTATTGCATATGGCAATTTGAGGGTTAAAAGTGAATGAGTGTGGGTGGGTGGTTGAGGCTTTTTAGGGCTTAAAGCTTTGTGACACAAGTTAAAATGTCCTGTAAGGCTAGAGCTTCTGCTTTCATTGCATTAAGAAATGCCTGCTTTAACATCACTGAGTTGGAAAAATTAGTCTTCATTAATCAAAATAAAACATGTACATGTACAGTGTCACCAAAAAAAAAAAAAAAGTTTTGCTGGAAGTTGTCCATTATCATTGTTTTCTTTGCTTAGACAAAAAGCCACAGAATGGCTGTCAGATGTCAAACACTAAGATCATTCAACTCCAAAAAACCTAAATAATAAGAGCTACGTTCAAGTGGATTCAAAACAAAATTGGCTAATTTATTTTGTAAATATAACCTTTTTTAATATAAATACAGATGCTAAAAAAAAACTTTAGTGTATTTCTGATTATGCTACTGTTAGAGTAATGAGTTAGAAACGTTAAATCAATTAGTCAATAACATCATGGAAATGGTACTAATAAAAATGATGAAAATAAGACTTTTCAGAGCAAAACTGTTTATGCTTTTAAAAGTTCTCTGGCAATGTTGTTCAAATTAGCTATATAGTAGTGTTTTATTTCCAAACTTTTTCAGGAAAATAATAAGTAAATGTTTCAGGAGATATAAATACCCATAGCCATAGAATGAACATATATTGTACCCTGTGTTAGAGACATATATGATCTGTTTCCTCAATTAAATAATGCATTTCAAAATCTAGAAGAAAATAAAAAGATGGGAAGACACACTGCTTAGTCTAAGAGTTGGAGAATTTGCAGGGAGAGTTAGTAGATGGACTAAATTTTATTCACAATTTTGTCAGCATAAATTCCATTTCACTCATTTTTGTACCTTGATTGTGCCTTGTTAGCCCTTGTGGGCTAACATAGTCATAACATGTTGATGTCATCAACAGAGAGGGCAACTTTTTTGTGCTCTGTAGGGTGTTTGTAGAAAGTAGGCTGGCACACAATGAGACCCAAAAGTTGCCTCAGCTATACTGGAGGCAAATACCATCAGCTATTCAAGGAAATGATAGTATTTCATTAGTGAGGTGATTCTTTAGGGCTGATAGAGGGTAGGATTATATGTAGTGAGTTTGTTTAGTGCTGTCTTCACCCAGACACAAGTCCCAGGGGAGCTGGGAGCAGTTCTGCATGAATAAACCCCAGTGCCAAGGTGTGGGACAGGATGGAGCAGATGCTCTGACAGAGAGCAGATGTTTCTTGCAAACAGGGCAAGACCAAATTACCATTGATAGTGAACTGCACTGACATCCCAGTGCTGCAGCCATTCCTGTCAGGGACAGAGTTCCCACTGCCCTGAAGTAAGATGGGCTTTACATGGTTTCATAAAGAAACCCTCTGGGCAGTGCCATTTCACCTCGCACATGTAGCAGCGGCCATCCCAACTAAAACCTTCAGCGAAGCAGAGGTATGGGCTATGTAATTGCTTGGCTCTTGGTTCTCTGACCTCTTCCAAGAGAGAGGATTGAATAAGGACCAAGCTGTAGGGTAACAGGGGACCTCCATGCTGGGCCAGTCAGCTTTGAGGGTGTTACTTTTTATCTGTCCCATCTAAACATACTTCGGATCCCTCCTCAGGATCTTCCATGCTCTGAAGCTCTCATTTTGCCTCTCTTCGAAAGCTGCACTTGGAAACTCTGTGTGCACAAGAGAGGCAGCAGATACATGTGAAAGGAAGCCATTGTCCTGTCTGCCACCCTGGCCATAAAGCTGGCTTTCCTTTCCCAACCCTTTTGTTTGTAGTATCTAATTTAGGCCCCAGTCTTGCGAGGACTCTTTGAAGTTTCAAGTGCAGGGAAAACACTGGTAAACACAACCCGTGGCTTGGTAACAGGACATTATATTCTCCATGGCAATTATGTAAGCTTGCGCTGGAGCTAAAGGCCTGTCATAGGCATTATCTGACACTATCCCACATCAAGAAAGAGCATAATCCAAATGTCTACTTATTTAATTGTACAGGGCAACTGCCCAGATAAGGAGAGCTATAAAGTTAATCCAGCCAATTATTCTTTATCTCTTGTAAAGTTTTTCCAGTTTCAGACAAGTTCTAACTTGAAAAGAGATTGCTGCAGGAGTAAAGCATGAATGTTAAAATGTTTCTATCAGAGATGAAGCCATTGCTTATTTTGAACTTATGGTATCACTTGAGGTTGTTTTACTTCATAATAAAATTTACATCACTAGAAATTAAAAAAAAAAATAGTTAAGTGGTTCCTGCTGAGCAATCCTAGTCTAAATCCAGGATTGAGTCCTACTCTGAGGTAACACCTCTCCAACCATCTATCAAAGGATGAAACTGCTGAACACCTGGTAGCTTTGAGACTGGTTTGAAGTGCTACACTTGGACACATTCGAAGCCATAGTTTCAATTTTGGTAGAGACATTCATTAAACTGATAAAATCTAAACAGTTTAAGATTATTTGCCTTATGCTTTAGCAGTCTGGCATAGCTCTGAACAGAACTTGGCCTGGGTGTTGAGGCACAAATTAAATTAAAACTGTCTGTGTTCAAGCACAACTCTATGTTTTATCTTTGTTGCCATTGTACAGTATTTGCATGCTGTTTTTCAGAAAGCCAAAACATTCATTCTAGCAGCTTGCAGTTTTTTGCAGAAATGTTGGCAGAGATCTTTGTCATAACCATTTTTGAAACACTTTTGGGGACCGGGCTGCCAACAGATTGCCCTTTTAAGATTTGTATTTTACTCGTAGCTATGTGCAGAAATCTTTGAAGAACTTGAAAGAAACCTATCTTCCCTTAACAATTATTTTTATCTTGAATGGTTGTTCCCACATCAGATACAGGTTTATAGGTGAGCATGAGAGCCTGAAGCCCTCTGTCTGGTGTGGTGCATGCTCCTATCCACATCTTACTGGCATGGCAGCTGTGCACGCCTCCACTTTCCCACTCAGATGGATGTTGTATCCTGAAAAGTGTGATCTGAGATCACAGGCCCTCAAGATCTGTATGATCTCTGAGGGTCTGGGTAGGGATCCCCCCAGTGAGCTGTAGCACCTCTTATGCTATATTCAATTAGTTTCATGCTAAAGCTGTGTCACTGCTAGGGCTTGATTTTGAAAGAGAAGCTGGATATCGGCTCATCATAGAATGCTTTTGTTTTGCTACCTGGTATTTCAGGTGGATTCTGGAATTTTCCTTTTCCTTTTGGACTTGCTCCTTTGTGAAAACAAATGCTGTGGGGTGGGGGCTACAATCATACCAATATCTGGTTGTGGTGTAGCTAAAGTGAGAGCCAACCAGAGGCTTCACAAAATTATTGTTATTGGTCTCATGCAAAGATTTTTTTGCTTGTTTGTTTGTTTGAAAACTGTCACACTTTTGAGTAGTAACATAGTGGGTGGATTTTGGGTTTATGTTTTTTAACAAGTGGGTAATATTCCTTCATAACACACAAAAATTCAAACAGAAAGAGAGTCTGAAATATTCTCAGATGAGTCTGAGATAGTCATGGAGATACTGAAACCTACCATCTGTCAGTGCTATAAAGAATAGCAGACTTGGATCTCTCTGAATGAAAGTAATAGCTCCAACTATGTTGCAACTGCATCTACTATCCAAAGTGGGCTTCTAAGGAGTCATTAAATTCTTTTCCCAGTTTTGTGAATGCATGTTTTAACCTTGAGCCTTTCCAGCAATGTCTCATTTAGCATGGCCAAATGGATCTTTTAAAATAAGTGAATCATCCCTGCAGTTCCTCAGTTTTGCAGAACACCTCGTGTGCACTGCCAAGGGTGGAGCAGGGGGGCACTGCACTGCCTCTGAGCACCTACTGTGAGGAAAAACACAGAAGATGGTGTTTGATTTACTGTTCTGTATTGGAAGCATAGCTCTGGTCTCAATGTTTGACCTGCAGATGGTACAAGGGGAAGTTACATCTCCTTTGTATGGCAGTTGTATCTACGGGCATACATCAGTAACTACAAAAGTGTTGATGAAATTACTTCTTTGTAAGGAAGAAGTTTGCACTAAATTAAGTATTTCCTTGCTCCAGCAAGGCAATCATAGGTAAAGGTCCCATTGTCTCTTAATTTTATTCTGTATTTCATATTCTCATATTCTGGTCCTGTGATGTTGTTTAGAATTATTGAAAGCAGCCCCAGGGACAAAGACTTGGAGATGCTGGTTGATGAGAAGCTCAATATGTGCACTCAGAGCCCAGAAAGCCAAAGATCCCAGGCTGCGTCCAAAGCAGAGTGGGCAGCAGGGCAAGGCAGGGGATTCTGTCCGTCTGCTCTGCTCTGGTGAGATCCCACTTCAAGTACTGTGTCCAGTTCTGGGTTTCTCAGCACAAGAAGCACGTGGACCTGCTGGAGCAAGTCCAAAGGAGGCCACTAAGATACTCAGAGGGCTGCAGCAGCTCTCCTGTGGCAATGGGCTGATAGAGCTGGGGTTGTTCAGTCTGCAGAAAAGAAGGCTCTGGGGAAACCTTAGAGCACCTTCCAGTACCTAAAGAGATCCTGCAAGAGAGCTGGAGAGGGGCTTTTTACAAAGGCAATTAGTGATAGGACAAGGGGAACAGCTTTAAACTGAAAGAGGGCGGGTTTAGATTAGATCTAAATCTAATCCTTTCCTTCTTTAGGAAGAAAGTCTTTACTGGGAGGGTGATGAGGCAATGGAACAAATTGCCTAGGAAAGTTGTGGATGCCTCATCAAGGCCAGGCTGGATGGGGTCTTGACCAATCTGGTCCTGTGGAAGGTGTCCCTGCCCATGGTCAGGGGGGAGTAAAACTGGATAATTTTTAATTTCTCTTCCAACCCAAATCATTCTATATGTGTTTTCTACATCTCTCCCTATGTCTCTGCAGCCTTCATTTTGTTCTCATGACTCTCTTGATTACCTGAATTTGTTCTTACCTTAATTTTTCACAGTTGGATGGATAGAGTCCCAAACAAATACCCTCTCTCCTCTAGGCCTGTTGATGCAAACCTCCCTGCTATTCCCTAGCTGCAGTTTATCATTTGCAAGTTGCAGACAGAACTACATTCATGTGACATGGAGAGCTAAGACATAATTGCTTTTGAGCTGTATCAAAGAAGACACTGTATAATACCGCATAAAGTTTGACTCCTTTTCAAAAACTTCTTCTTTTCATTATTTCCTTCAGGGAATAATTGGGAATGTTTGATGTGGTTACTGTGTTTTTTCTTTGATATGTGCACATACAAGATGGTGTCCTCCCAAAGAAGGATTTTTGCTTGAAGAAATTAAATCCCCAAGTATGTCTAAATTAATAAATCATTTCTAAATGCATCTGTATTCACGAGTCATATGACATGAACTAGGCAAAATACAACTGCATAAAAGCAAGTGGTACAATAAATATGTGTTGAAAATAACCAGTTGTACAATTTCAAAGCCTTCTTCTGATGGCAAATTTCAAATGTTTAACAACTTCAAAAGGAAATTCAAATTTTCAAAGTCTTTATTCAGTGTGAAATAATTTGTCTGCAGGGGACACCTTGTTGAAAGATAGCACTGGTGGCTACAACCTCTGCCGTGCACCTTGCATGGACATGAAGCACATACCCAACCTAGTCAACTCTGCCTCTCCAAAGATGTAGTCTGTTCAGGCAGAGCATCACCCTGTCATGGCTATACCATTTCTGGCTGCAGAATGGGAGTTGTTTGGTGCTAGCATGAGTGACTGCTCAGCAATGTAGAAACACCTGAGAACTCTCCGACTTCCAGAAAGGGAGAAATACTGAACCCCTGAAAATCAGGCTTCCGTAAGGGCATCTCAGGCAGTGTGCTCAAATATCAAAATATCCCTAGTATTTATTTACCCTATAGAAAGCAAGGCCATAAATTCTCGTTCACATTGAGGAATTGTTTGTAATCTGCAGCATAACAAAGCAATCAGATTTTCCAGAAAAGATTTTGTGAGGTTGTATTCATTAATCTCATTAAATCCTAATGTTTTTCAATGGTGAGCACTGTTTAGGTTAAGGTATTTATTGTATTCTTTCTGATCATTTTTTACCCTGTCTCCTGGACAAGTCTTTGCTTCTGTTTAGCTAAGGAATTGCTGGTTTTAGACGGTTGACATGTATTTATAATTTTGGCAATGCCATTTTCCCAGGTGTTACCCAAGTTTCTTCCAGAAGATCTAAGACCTAGCCAAGACCTTGCCAAGACCTAGCCAACATAATGAATCACCCTTTTTTCCCCTTTTTTTTTTTTTTGTTTTTTTTTTTTTTATTTTGTTTTGTTTTGTTTTTTTGTTTTTGTGGGAAATAGGAAAGGCTTAAGAAAGTGTCTGCCTAACACCAGGCATGTGCCCAAATGTCAGATGGGGCCTGGGGCATAAAGCATAGGATCCTGTACTGGGTGGCTCTCACTGGTGATCTCCAACAGCCCTGTTTCTTATCCAGGTCAGCTGAGAAGGCAGCAGAAAATATGGGGATGAATCCCAGACCCTGCCCCTTACAGTGAGGCATCCCTTTCCTGAGATGGCTGCACCAACTTCCCAGGCACTCAAACAGCCCCTTCACCCCACCCCTTATCCATTTTGTAGCCCTCTGGTGCTCAAATTCCTTCTGGCAATGTAATACAATTTCCAACACATTATGTAAGGTTCATGTTTGTCACCTTTTAACCCCTAGATGTGAGGTTTTCTTTTGATCCATGTTTTCCAACATATCTAAGAGCAGGCTGTGTCTAAAAGAGTAAAGGCACATTCCTTTTGAAGCTATGTATTCATTTGGTTCAATTAATATTGTTTAGAGAGCATACTGGTAGATTTTGTATGTATACATTACTAGAAACCAAAATTACTGTGTACTGGAGATAAAGTTAGCTTTGGAAATTCCTTTTCCCCTTTAAAATAAAAATAGAAGGATCTGCCTTTAATTGACCACCTCAGTCATCACAGAGGCTTCCTGTGTGCAGAGGCTTTGCCTTTAATATCTGTTTTCCCTTGACTTTAAAGAGTAGTCTTTATTTGCAAGTTTATTATAGAAGCATTTAAATTAGAGGTGGGCTGAAACCGCAAAGTTTGTGTCCGGATCTGGACACAACTTTCTGAAAGTTTGAAAGCCTATGTTTTTGATTGTCCTGACCAGAGATTACAGAGGTGTCTGTAAAGTTCTTTTCAGAGCCACATCTCCTGGGTGTGGAAACACAGTATTTCAGTTTGAGTCTTTTACCCAGTTTATTTCATAAATTTATGTAGTGGATTATGAGTGGTATGACAGAAAGGAAGAGCTTCCTATAATTTTTTTTCATATGAGAAAATAAATGTAAACATTTGCCCAGACACATAACAAGATGAACAAGTGTCATTCAACACAAGACAGTCACAATGTCCTTGATCACATTGATGCCCTACTCAGCAGGGTCTCATGATATAATTTATGCTTTCTGTGACAGGGCTGGGAGAAGGTTCTGCTCTTCTTCACCCAGACAGCAGGACCCACCCTCGGTCCTTGGAGAAGAGTGCCTGGAGGGCTTTCAAGGAGTCACAGTGCCATCATATGCTGAAACACCTTCACAATGGAGCCCGGATCACTGTACAGATGCCTCCCAACATCGAGGGCCACTGGGTCTCTACTGGGTAAGGAAAGATAAAACCCCCTTGGGATGGGGAAGAGAAGATGGTAAAAAAACAGAGAGGGAAAGATGAATATTCCCACTTTCAACAGAAGAAATACTTTTTTTCATATGGTGATGCTCTAAATTCCAGATGCTCTCAATATGTTTATGCATAAAAGGAGAAGGAGCAGCATTATGTACATTAAAATAGCATGCCATGAAGCTGTCTTAAAGAATCAATTTATTGTCTGGGTTTTAAACAGCATGCTGTGAAATATCTTTAAATCTCTCTGAATAGGAAGGAGCCTACCAAGCTGCCAAAATGGATGCTCATTCAAACATAACATTGTACTGTATTTGTCTCCATGCATTAGATCCATTGAATAGGTCCTTGTTTTCAGAGCATGGGTCTAGCACAGGTTTTATTAGCATAAGAAATTAAGAATCTGTATTTCACTAGCTCTGTTAGTCTTTGTACTTGATGACTTGTGTTTCAGAGAGCTGTTTTGCTTTCTGTGTCTCAGCAGGCAATATTCACATGCTCGTTGGAAGTGACTTGTAGTAGGAAGGACTGAGGGTTTTTTTTAACAGAGAGGAGTGTATTTCAGGATGAGAGGAAATGGTCTCAAGTTACACCAGGGGAGGTTTAGATTAGATATTAAGAAAAATTTCTTCAATGTAAGAGTGGTCAGGCATTGGAATAGGCTGCCTGGGGAAGTGGTGGAGTTAACATCTCTGGAAGTGTTCAAAAGACTTGTGGATATGGCACTTGGATGTGGCTTAGTGGTGAACATTGTGGTGCTAGTTTAATGGCTGGACTCAATGGTCTTAGAGGTCTTTTCCAACCTTAACAATTCTACAGTTCTGTTTATATTAAGCAGTGTAGAGGTGATAAGGGGGACAAGTTTGAAGGCACAGAAGGGCTTCCTACAGGAAGTGGAATTTAACTGTCATTTACACTTCTAGAAAAAAAAAAAGGGGGGGGGGCAGGGGGCATTGGGAAGAAAGAGAAAGAACCGACAAAACCTGAATATTGCATGGTCCAAATTCAAGCCAAGCAGAAGTCTTGCATTAATAGTTGGAAGTTTGCATTAACTGCCACCCCTGTTGAATGCTTGAGTGAAAAGCTCAGGACATGATCCTGCATATCCACAGCAGACCAGAGATCATGGAGTTACAGAGAAGCTTCTAGAGCAGCTTATAAGCCAGTTCTTTGTGCTGTTCCCTGGACGGATGGCATTTCACTTTCTGATGTTATCAGTCATTCTGCTAAATCTACCGTGCAAAAGAGAGCAATAAATGTTTAATAAGCTGCTACTATTTTCAATGAAGAATTGAGTCATGTGGTGGTCCCTAGACAACAGGCAAAAGCAAAACACGATTCAAAATATTTAATCGTACAAGATAAAGCCTTTAGATATGATCACCATGAAGCAGTGTATTAATAGCAGGGGAGGAAATTGTTGGATAATGGGCAGGCCACAGATTCCTAGTTCCTATTTACTCCTATTCCTGCTGGAGGGATATTAGCATGCAGGGGTCTCTGTGGACCCATGTGGGTCTCATTGCCTGTAGTATACATGATGTGCCACCTTGCTAAAGTTTTGTTTCCATGCTTTCTTTGCCCCCACAGCTGCGAAGTTAGAGCAGGCCCAGAGTTCATCACAAGATCATACAGGTTCTACCACAACAACACGTTCAAGGCCTATCAGTTCTATTACGGCGGCAATCGCTGCACGAACCCCATCTACACCTTAGTCATACGAGGCAAAATCCGTCTCCGGCAGGCGTCCTGGATCATCCGGGGGGGCACCGAGGCCGACTATCAGCTCCGCAACATACAGATCATATGCCACAATGAAGCAGTAGCCAAAAAATTAAGTGAGTTGGTGAACCAGACGTGTCCTGGATTTATCCCAGCAGATAGTCCCTGGGAGCAGGATGTGAGCTATGATTTACTGAGAGAAGAGAACGGCTGTGAATGCACCAAAGCTCTGAATTTTGCCATGCATGAACTCCAGCTCATCCGTGTGGAGAAGCAGTACCTGCACCACAATTTTGACCACCTTGTGGAGGAGCTATTCCTCGGAGACATTCACACTGATGCTACTCAGAGGAGGTACTATCGGCCCTCTAGTTACCAACCTCCTCTTCAAAATGCCAAGGTACGTCTGTGGGGGTTTGCATATGTCCTCTTTTTAAGATACTGCTGACAAAGCCCAAATCACTCAGTTCTTCTGAGTCAGTGCACTGATGTAACCTAAACTGTAGATGTGCTTCTGACACAGGGGTTGATTACAGCCTTAATTAACAGAAGATAACAGAACTTACTTTGTGAGAACAGTAACTTAGCTGTGGTTTATGTGACTGCAAATATGCAAAAAAAGTAATCTCATTAGGTAAACTCAATAAAGGCCACTCTGAAGCTGGAATCAGAGACTTGTAGGCAGAAGTGGGAGTGGTTGGCTGGGACCATGGCTGTAAGCTAGCAGCTGAGAGGAAGGTTTCATATAGAACTGAGACAGCAGAAGAGGAACAGGCATCAGTGGATACTGCTGCAGCTGTGGGAGGGCCAGGGGAAGAGGAAATCAAATATGAATATCAGCATATGGAAATTGGGTGATCCATAGCCTGAAGAGAAGACAAGGAAATTGGAAGGTAAACACATGGAAGGGGCAGCATGAAGGGAAAAAAACCTGATGGACTGTACAGGTCATGGATCCAGACGTGGGCACACACATTAATGAAATGAAAAACAGGTGAATTTTGAATGGGGCTCTAATTCCATTTGATAGTTCAGTTTTCAAAAGGGCCTCAAAGTGCCCTCAGCTTCATCAGGAATTGATCAACCCATAGTAAGCTAAATAAAACTCAAACAGGAAGCACAGACACTGATGGCCTGTAGCTGGAAGGCTGTCATAGATCTTTCCTGGTGACATATCAAAGGCAGGCAGCAATTGGAACCACATTGCCAGGTACTGCTGCCACCAGTGTGCTCCAGCTGGGCATTGCTGCAGCATCACTTCCAGCTAATGGGTTGCCACCATTTTTAATCACCTCATCACAAATGGTCCAAAAGTCAGCTTATCAGCTATAGCAGGAAACACAACATTATGTGATCTGCCTTTAATTGCTTTGTAGCCTGGCCTAGGGATCATTTTAATCCACAATTGACTGTTTTGCTGTCTTCAAGTTACCAAGGACAAATCTGAGGGTTTATTTTTAAACTTGCCTTCCCAAAATAGAGAGTTTCAGCAGCAGCAGGTGTACACAGCATCAGTCCTCTCCAAAATTTTTAACCACATCAACTTTCACTTTACTGATTTGGATGTGAGGGTTCTTTGCTAAATTTCTTCCTGCAGGTAGCTGTAGATAGAAATTATCAGACACCAGCTATATTGTATCTGTTCTAGAAAACATTGTAGATCTTTTTCCAACCACTTGAAACAGAGACAAAATCTTGATTTAAATCACTGTAGCTGAGTATTTTTTCTGGTCTAATCTAGGTGTCTTATTCTGGGCTGATATACAAGATAGTAAATGCCTACACTTGCACCTTGTAGTCATTTCATTACAGTCAGAGCAATCAGATGTACTTTCAGACAGCTTTAAAAAATTAAGATTGTTGTCCAGGCCTGCTGTAATTTTAGGTAATGATTTTTCTGACTCTGTGTTCTGCTGGCGTAGCATCCCTTTTTCTCTCTAAAATATAGTGGCTCTAAAATACAATGTTCAAATTTAAGGGACCAAATTCTACATAGGAGAGGTGTGTTTCTTGAGACAAGCTAGGAAAGAGAAGCTGGGCCTGCTGGTACTAGGCTTTCAGTATTATATAAATAGCAATCCCATAAAAAATGAACCTTTGCTTCAGCTGCCATGAAAGATTCCAGGATGTGGGTTTGTTGGTTTGTACCTCTATACCAACAGGTTCTCAACAGGCACTCTGACCTACTGTTTGCCAAATGCAGGAAGAATAGTAACAGAAGTGATTTTTTCCCCTTTTTTTTCTTGAAGTCCAGGCAAACATACTGTTGAAAGGCTATAACCCTTCCTTTTTGAACTCTTTTCCTTTTTTAATTGTTGCTCCACTGGGACTCAGCTGAAAATGAGTTTAAATGCTAAATTGAGTTTAAAACTACAAGTCACAGACTCCTCTGGAAACTGGACACCATGAATAAATAGAAACGTTAAATCAACTTGTTTTTTTAAGGTTTCTACAGTCATACCAAGAGGTTGGGGAGGCCAGGAAATTGCTTCTGAGGTGAATCAGGTGTATTGTGTGGAATCTTTCATTTAAGGCTTTTTTCATTTCCTTTTTATTTATTTATATTTTAGACTCACAAAGGCCTGTCTAAAATAAGTTAAGAGGATTCACATTTTTAGTTAAATTTATAGTTAAGCCTCTATATAGAAGAAAGTTCCACCCAGCCCAAGAGTTTACACAGCCTGTAAGTTGGATGTGGTAGCCACATTCATTACTTATGTGGTTGAAATGAATGGTAATTAAAAACAAATGATTGCTGGATATGTTAGGAATGCCAAAGCCACATGATCAGGACTTTAAACAAATAGAATTGGACCTTTTCCAAATTCCTGCAACGATTTCACCACGGGATGGTAAATCAAAAAGGCTGTCCAAAAACCAGACAGCTTTATGCTGAGCTACAAATCTGAATAAATTCACAGATTACTGTATCTCAAGTGTTCATATAGAATCAGGGAGCTTATAAAAACATATAATATGTCATCTCTTAAGGCTTTACGAATTCTCTTAGATAAGAACATACCTTAAACAAATTCCTCCTGTAAAATATGTGGAAGTTCTTTAGTGCAGATGATTAATAGGTCACTATATAGATTTATCTTGGCTGTTTCCTAACCTGGCTCAAGATACTAGTTAGGACTGGCTGATGAATGGAGATGAACGTCTTTGATGTCTCTTGACATTGCAAGTTTATCGAGTGGTTCAAGCTATTACACATGGAGCTTCTTCAGCCAGCATGAGAGAGCACATGGGTGGGAAGGGCAGGATGGAGGAAATGCTGGGCCATCATCACATATATTACACAGAATGTTCCCAATTAGGACAACACCAAGGAGGCTGCCTGATTAGTTGTAATGTCACAAAAGTATACAGGGACTTCTAAAATGAAGGAAGGCTTGAATGCAGTATTCGTTCTCTGTATAGGACAGAAAATGTCTTCAGAAATGTCTGCTCTAAACTACAGAAAACGTGCATAATAGCAATACTGGGAGACTTATTTCACATGTAATTGCCTCAGCAATATTGCTTTGTAAACAAAGAACTCCTTGTGCTATTTTATCATGTGACAGAGTAACAGGACTGTGATGACCAGTCATTCTGGTTAGATCATTACTTAGGAATAAGGCTGACATAGTCTGGACCATCACAAGAAACCTAAAAAGCCCTAGGATAACCTTCACTCTTTGTCATGCTGAATCAGTTGCTGGACACTTACTGCAATCATCTTTCAGTAAGATGTTTTCTCTTTAAAATGTGACTAATGAATCAATTCTCTATTACAACTTTATTTACCAAGGGACTTGATTTCCAGCAGCACCTTGGAATTTGCAGCTGATACAGATTCAGTGTATGACGGAGACTGGTTCTTGGGTGTTCCTTTAGCCAAGAAAGAGCAAAGTGTGCAAAGTTTTCTGTGCTTTTCAAAAATTTGAATCTTCATCTCTTTGAAACACAGTGACTTCATCTCTAGGGGTGTACTATGTACATGTGAAGCTCCCAGGGAAATGCAATCATGAGTTAATAAATAGATGTTAAACATCTGAAGCGCCTCAGAGAAATATGCAAAACTAAACCAAAAAGTATAATTTTGGCAGACAAAACTCCTTTGTTGCCTGAGTGGTGCCACTAGACTTCTAGATTAAGGCAACACTTGAAGGGTGCCTTTTGTCCATTATTACTTGAAAAGGGCTCTTGGTTAAGAAAATTATGAGGGGAAGCAAGGTAGAAATATTCAGAAGAATGCTCAAGTGGGTTAATTGCAGGTTTATGAACAATAACAATGTGTGTGGTGCCCTACAGAGATGAAGAAGGAAGCAGCTTTTAGCTAAGGTTGGCCCTTGACATGCTCGGCAGCACTTGGTCCTGCGCCTTTAAGGGTGCCACATCTGCAGTTAGCACTGTCTGCTCTGCAGCTGCAGTAAAAGCCTGCCACAACTCAAATGCAGCACCAGGGATCAAAATTAACTATTTAGCGTAGCCCGGGCCTTCAGGTCAACTCAGCATATGTATCTAACACCTTCCTTGTGGTTGGCATCTAAGCACAGTGGCTTCATCTTTTGTAAAAAGGCAGGGAAGACTCAGTGGTAATACTGCATGGTTTAGAGGGCTGTATAGGATGCTTTTTAAGGGCATAATAAATACATAAGGCAGCTTTATTTGGGAGTAAAAATGGACATTCAAGCTGTCCCTTCAGGTTTTCCAGGAATTTTTTTGTTAATACTTCATAAAACATTCATGTCAACATAATTTAGTATCATTTTAATGGGACAGATGACATGCAAGCACATTCATCTGAGACATCTGGTTTTCTCTTTGTTCTAGTCTTTTGTCCAGGCTAAAGTCATTTATACCAGAGAAGAACAACCAGAAGACTTTTGCATTTCATATTGGTTTTGTTTATTTCAGTTTTATTCAGGGTTGTGCAACAGAATCAACATCATAGATCAGACAGTTGTGTAATGGTAGTGCCATGAGATTCCTTCACTATCTTTTCCTTCATAAGAGCAGTTAATAAAAACCATTCCTCAATATCTTAGAATATATGGTACGCATTTGCAGATAAATCAGAGCATATCTCCACCCTCCTTCCTGCTTGCAGCACCTCTGTTCCCCACCAAAAGAAATATATATCTCAGAACTCTGCAAAGGAGTTACCGCTCTCTCCAGCATTTTGCTTGCCTCAAGATTTTTAATTAAAGTTTTAAATCTTCATTTTTCTTCATTCCATTTGGCAGGCTGAGTTATAACCGTGTCAGGCGTGCTTGTCAACTCCCCAGAGTCAGGCTAATGCACATTAGTCAGCTCAGCTTCATATGAGGTCATGCAAAGCCTGCAAATTATCACTTTTGTACTGGAGAGAATTTGTGGTCATTTTTTAAAGTCTTGTCTTGGTCTGCAGTTATCTACAGTGGTGGAGGAGCGAGCCTGATACGATCCTGAGCAATTCATAAATGTATCCTTCCTGGGGACTTGGCTCCTTGGCAATGTGAAACAAAGCCATCCAACTTTTTTTGTTGAGCTGGAAGCATTTTCTTGAATTGATGTTCTCCCAAGAATTTCCATTTGTACTTAGTTACTAACACTAGCACCTGGTACTGTGTTTCCTTGGGTCGTGAGGTTTAAAGTATCCTGACCAGGCATGACTCGTTCCAGTCCCAGCTAGTCCTGCCCACAACACAGGATATTTGAGAGGTGTGCAAGGCCATAGCTGAGTGTGGCTTTTCTCTCTCCTCTTCTTTTCAGCACTTCCCCTCATGGTAATATGTGCATTCACGTGGCAGGGGTTTCCTACCCCAGCTTTTGTGGCTGTTGGCCCCTACAACATCCCAGGATTCTGGTTAGATCTGTACTGCACACACAGTTCAAGCCTGAGCCCATGCTTGAGGAAATCCAATGCCTGGTCCCTCATCTCATGTCTCCCTGCAACAAGGATATGCTGGGTACAACATGACAGACATGCTATGTGGCAGAGCCAATGTCACACAATTAGTCCTAGGCAGCCATAGAATTACACAGAACTTAAAAGAAAATTAAGCTGTGCTGGGAGGGTTTATGTTTCTGGCTATCCATAGCAATTAGGAAAAAGATGAAGGAACCTCATCTTTGTTAGCTTTTTTAATTAAAATTCCCATTGCTTGGCTTCCAGAGCTCTCTGGACTTATTACCACTTCAGCTGAGACAGCAGGACAGAGTGATAAGAAAAAATGTTGTTGGGAATTTTTAGATCCTGAACTGTTTTCTCCCCAGCTACAAAAACTGAGTTTTCAGCCAGAGATTAAGGCTTGTTTTGGCACACATGGCGTAATGGATTAGTTCAGAAATTGGCTTTAAAGAAACACCTGGAAGGATAAGGAATGTTGTCACTATGGCTTTGGCACTGCAGAGCTGCAAGGAGCCACACATAATGGGAAGGGATCTTCCAGCTATTTTAGGTCCCAGTCCTTCTAGCAAGGCCCCACTATTAAAAATACTGCACTGTGCACCTAAGATAATCAAAACATAGAACTGATATTCATCCTGTCCTCTGCTTGTTTTATTGCTTTTTAGTTTATGTCATGCCCCAATGAGCTTTTTATTAGAGAGTTCTTAATCCTGTTTGGATTCAAACTTTGCTCTGTTCCCTATTTTCTTTGAATGCCTGTTTTTAGAAAATAATCTTTCCCTGAAACACATGGAAAGGGAGTGATTTGCAAAGCCTCAGATAGTGTAATTAAGAGCCAAAAGCAGCTGACCTAAAAAAAGCAAGAGCGAAATACACAGTCAATTGATAAACATAAATTACTCCATAATTAAGTCAAATTGCCTCATAAGAGAACTAGCTTTTTCCCTTGCCCATTGCTTGGGCAAAAATCATACTGAGGGAGTTTATACATGGCATATTCTTCCACTAAGAAGTTTATAAAAACTTGTGAAAGATAGTATCACTGCAAAAAAGGTTTATGTGGGCTTAGATTCAAATGCTGGTCTCCAGAAAGCGATGCACTCAGAGTACATCCTCTGAGGGGCTGGAGCCAGCTGGTGTCTCACAGCTGTGAAAGGGATGTTTCTGCTTCCTCCTTCACCACCCCAACCTCTCCCTGCTGCACTCGTGGTTCAATGCAAAAAGTGCCTGGTTGCCTCAGCCCCCTCATTTGGGCACACCATCAGTGACTAGAAGGCTGTCAGGTTGGACATTCCTTAGCAGCCCAACTGGCCAGACTCTCACAGCTGGCAAAGCCTTCAGAATTAGAAGGGCTGCACAGAGCTACAGTAGTTCAGGACCACGGTCAAAGAACTAGGTGAACTACAGACAAGTAACAGAGAGTTAACAAGGACCTTCCTGGAGTTCACCAAAGGAGTCACCTCTGCTCACACTGTAATGGTGGCCACTGGTGACCAAAAAAGAAAACAGGATGAGTTGTTGTTTGGTTTTCTTCAGATTTTGAACAAGACCAACAGAAATCACTGGTTCCCAGGTTAAATTGCCTTGGCTCACAAACTGTTTTTGGAGGATGGACTCCTGGGAGGAAGACGTGAATATAAACCAAACCAATATACTGCTCTGCCAGGGTCTCCTCTGAGAGATGATAGAAGCTTTCAAATTCACTTCAGTAGAGAAGGGACTGTAGGAGAAATTCTCTCCTACTATTGATGGATTCAGCTTATATAAGCTATTTTTAGTTTTATAGCACTGTCTTTTTCTTGCTGTCTGGATTCACTTTATGAGAGAGGGGCAGTAACAGCCATAGAGTTTCTGTCATCGATGCCCTTATGTGTCAGGGAACAGTGCAGCGAGTCTGCCCCATGGCAGGACAGAAATGTGTGGTTAAAAGGCTCTGGCATCTTCATCTCCAGAAAAAAAAAGTATTTCTATTACAATTGAAAGATACTTTCTGTATATATATCTGCACTAACTTCACCAGTTGCTGAATTACTCAATTAAATGTTCTTTGTATTTCACGAAGGTACTAACAGACCTCTCACCTGCTTGCAGAATTTAGCTGAAAAAAACACATCTTAAAATTTGGTAACAAGCTCCACAGTGGGAAAGGACTTCATCCACTTTAAGAGCATGCTGACATGTGGTCTCCAGAAGGCCATGTGTTTTGGGGTGGAAGGATTCTTGAGAGGTCACCAAGTCCAGCATCCTTCCTCCTTAGAGCAGGGCTGTTGGCCAGTGATTCAGATCAACCAACAAAGATCTTGTACTTTCATCTCTCAAGGACACTCCTTGATCCTTCCTGGAGAGAGGGGGATGCACTGCCAGGTTACTCACACCCACCACATTCAAGCTGTGAGGTGTTTTCCTGAGGTGCATCAAGTTAAGAGCTAAAGCTCAACATGCAGCCATCTGGGAGATTTACAGAAATACTTTTTCTTTGTACACCTTTCCAGCCCTTTTTTCAGAGGCCTCTCTGAGCACCTTCCATAACATAAATGTTCATGTTAACTGCTCTTACTTTAAAGTGCACATGAGCTGCTGTGAACTCAGCATTTCTTCACTCACTGCCCTCAGCTCTGGCTCACTTTAGGGGTGACATTCACACAATCTTCATTAGTGCCCTGAATTCCGCCAATAAAATTACTGTAGGTAGCTTCAGAGAACCAACGTACAACACCCACAATATATTTATTTTATGCATATTAAACAGAGTTTATATTTGCCCCATCCCAGACCAGATAGTCATCCAAAGTCTTTTCAGCAACAGTGAAATCAATGAAATGACAGCTGTTCTATGTTCTTAGGATGTAGAATAATGGTCAAAGTAACTATAAATGGTGTTTCTCAGGAGGTGGAAGCCTCAGCCTGAAATTTCTCCACTCCTGCCACAGACTTGGGAGCCTGTAGTCCCCTCCTAAGACACCCCAGGTACTCACATTTGGGGCCAGAGGTACTTGGCTGCTTGAGGTTGCTGCATGGCCCACATTGGTGAACTACCCTGGAGCTCGGCAGGTACCATGGACCCTGTTCCTGCTGGAGAGGGCCATGAAGTTTTCTCCATGTCCAGCAGCAGCCAACCATATCACACACTTCCCAAACTTTTGTTAGGGCTCAGCAAAGCTGAAACAGTTTAAAAAGCACTGGTTACTATTCTCCCAAGGTTCCATCCAAAAAGAAAGAAGTCCTTATAACACCCATGTTTATCTACAGTACTTGAAGTTAACAACTAAAAGATAAATAAGAGTTCAGCAAATGTATTGATTTCTGACACAAGTGTTGCAAAATCCCTATCTTAGTAAATTACCATCTGCCAGCTTCTTGTATGATGCAAAGGATAAAGTCAGCCTTTTCTGGATCCTGAACTAAAATGTTAATTTCAGATAAGTGCAGACAAGGGAATTAATTTCTTACAAGCTCCTCTGCTGTGAAGTCTTACAAATACAAACCCAAATGGTACCACTAACGAGATAAGAAATGACAATGCATTCCTTGAAATGTGGAGCTGGTGTCACTTCAGCATGAAGTGGCTGGCCTGCTGCATTGCCCTATTTCCCTGGTGATGCCAGCTGAGGGTTTCTATCTGCTTTGTTGCAGAACCACGAGCGCATGTGCATCCCGTGCAGGATCATCTACCGCTCAGATGAGCACCACCCACCCATCCTGGCCCCCAAGGCAGACCTGACCATCGGGCTGCATGGAGAGTGGGTGAGCCAGCGCTGTGAGGTGCGGCCAGAGGTGCTCTTCCTGACTCGGCACTTCATCTTCCACGACAACAACAACACCTGGGAGGGACACTACTACCACTACTCCGACCCCATCTGCAAGCACCCCACCTTCACCATCTATGCCAAGGGACGCTACAGCCGGGGAGTGCACTCGTCCAAAGTCATGGGTGGCACAGAGTTTGTGTTCAAAGGTAGAGTTGCTTGGTACAATGGGGAGGGAGGTAGTTATGGACCAGAGCAGTTTGCTCATAATTATTTGGTTGCTGATGATTTCACTCTGTGATTTTCAGGAGTTCATTATTACTTGGGAAGTTTGCCGGCATTGTGTGAATGCCCAGCCAAACTATACAGCTGCATGGCATTTCACACCGCTGAAGCAATAGTCATTTGAGGCAGAGGTCTTTAAGTACACAAGAAAATAAGAATTCATGTTACTCAGTGATCTTGAAGTCCAGTGGCCAGACGTCAAGCCTCTAAGAGAAGTGGTTAGATCTGTGTCCTAGGGCTCCTTTAGTAGAGAGAAAAAAGCATCTTCAGAAGGCATTTCAGATCTGAAGTGGTATAAATAATTTTTTGTGGAAGACAGATGCAGCAGCATGCATCTTTTCATGTGCTCCCAAGGGGCCCTCAAGCAAATAAGGGTGTCCCTAAAGACAGCTCTGATTAAAGATGCTAGAGCAAAGACAAAATGTATCCAACCCAAACCCATCGGGTACTTTGGAAAGCAGCTCTCGTTGACACCACCCATGGCTGAGAAGCTTTCCTGTGCAAACAGTCCCATGGCACCCTGCTTAAAAAGAGCTCAGGGGCCTGAACCACTCACACAAACAAACATCTCCAAAACACAACATTCCGCCACAGCACCAGCCCCAGCGGAGCCTCTGGTAGCCTCAAGCCCTCTGTAGGCTCTTCTCTTTATTTCAGTTACCACATTAGAAGCATAAAGCGTCTTGCATGGGTCTAATTTAGAAAAGCGTCCAACTAGAAGAAATAATCTATTTATCTGAGATTTTTGTAGGAGATGAGAGATACCCTTGCCTGTCAGAACTTTGGCTCTTTCGAGCTGCATGTGCAGCATGTTCCATATCAGCTCCTGGTATGAAATCCAGTTTCTGCTTGGATTTCTGGTTTATGTTGTGCCAACATACCTTACAGATCACGATCACTAATTTGGCTTAGGTAAAACTTTTAGGTTCAGTTTCTATAAATTAACTTTTACCCCAGCTGGAGTAAATAATGTGACATGTAGAGTCATTGAGTCAAATAGCTGTTTATAAAAGCTCAGGAAAAGCTCACAACGAATCTTAGTATAAAAATTATGTGCAAGAGAATTTGGGATTTTGGTATGTTGGGAGGCAGGAGGGATGGTTATTTTCTTCTGTTTTGGTCAGCACTAATCCATTCAGATCCACTTTTCTTGATATACAGTGTCAAAAACACACCAGGAAAAATCTCTATTCAGCTTCTGCAGGCTCATTCATTTTGGCTTTCCTCAACTTTTTTGACTTGGCTGGAAAATGAAACTCTATATGCCTTAAACTCCTTAGAAATACAAGCAGGTTAGAACTAAAGAAGCTGCAGCAGTTCTATATTTAATACTACAAGCTGCCGCCAATGTTGAGAGATGAGAAAAAAAAAACATCTTTCTGCAGGTCATCTATATCTTATAATTCATGGAAAAAAGGACAGGTAATATAGGATGATAGTGCAACTGTGATGTTTTACAAATTTCCCAGTGGGAACAAATTATTTTATTAGGTTTATAGGGTAGCTAGAAAATATTAAGAAATTATGAAAAATATGTGATAAATGCTCTATTTACAAATTAATACAGACAGTAATAAAACATGAGTAAAGTTTTATTGTTTCCTCTTTTCCCTATCTCCTTATATAACCAACCAGGCTTTATCTGTGAAGGATTGTCTGGAATTTATGAAAAGCTCTGCTTAATCTCTGGCTGAGATATGTGGCCATCAGGTTTTCTTCAACTGAGTTGGAGGGGGGTTGTTCTGTGAAAAAAGCAATTTTTGCAAGACAAAGACATAAAATTTTGCTCCTAGATTTGCTGGCCACACCTGTAATGTGAAAAACTAATTTAAGAATGAACAAGGGGAGACAATTTCAATTTAATAGGTGTGCCCCAGCTGGCACGTTGGCTTTGCTTTTGTTTTTGTCCCTCTGCTAACAGCTCCCCTCTTCCTCTCTCACAGTGAATCACATGAAGGTCACTCCCATGGATATAGCCACAGCCTCGCTGCTCAACGTCTTCAATGGGAATGAATGTGGAGCACAGGGATCCTGGCAGGTTGGGGTTCAGCAGGACGTCACCCACACAAACGGCTGCATCGCGCTCGGCATCCGCCTACCTCACACCGAGTACGAAATCTTCAAGATGGAGCAGGATGCCTGGGGCAGGTACCTGCTGTACAATGGCCAGAGACCGAGTGATGGCTCCAGCCCTGACCGACCCGAGAAAAGAGCCACTTCCTACCAGATGCCTTTAATTCAGTGCACCTCATCAGTACCCAGATCTGAAGAGTCACCCGAGGAGAATAAAATCAGGCTGTATAGCAGCAGGGCACCGGAAAAATATCCCAGCACCCCAGCTCTTGCTTTGTTGTTTATTTGTACTGTGTCATATTGGGATATTCTCAGCTAGAAGCGAGAAAAACTTATTTTTCATGACTACAAAGCCAGGATTCCTCCAGACTGGGGGTTGTTTTTCTTCAGACAGAAAAGGACATTTATTTTCTTGATGCACTTGAATGCCTGAGAACTGTTGTTCTTTTCCTTACTTCCCTCTTCCTTCTCAAATCCCGAACGGCACTCGTTTGATGTTTGTGCTTTGAACTTCATCCAGTCTGATCCCTGGCCTGACACGACTGCACAAAAGTAATTGCACTTTAGGACTGCAGACTTCTGGGGGGAGGGAGGGGGTCTCCTTTTATTTTTTTTTTTTTAACTGCTGGGATGAACTCTATGATTCTGCTTCAGTCATCTCTGCCATCATACTGTTGTGGTACTCTTATCCCCAATGCCTGATTTCTCATCAGAATTTAGCTCTGCGGAAGGGCTCGGTGTTATGCCAGTACTGTGATAGCAGCTTCCCCCTCTGACTTCACAGCTCTGATGTAGATATGTATATAAGGAGGAAACCCACAAAGATTTATCTTGCCATTATCTCACACCTCATAATACAGAAAGAATCAGCAAATCAACAGCCCTCTGTTCAAAAATTGCTAAATGGTTGATACCCCTAATTAAAAAAAAAAAAAATCCAAGTAATTTAAGCTATTTTTACAATAATTAAGTTGTAAAAATAACCAGTGGTTTAGTATTTTCTCATTCAATTAACTTAGCTGTGTAATTGCTTCGAGGCCTCCCTTTTTATCTAGAGAGTAGTTACAACTAAGCCCCCTCAAAGCCAGCCAGCAGCAGCAATTTTCCTGTCAGATGCACAGAGTGCAGGTAAGCTGCCAACACAAGGCTGCAGGAAAGACTTCTCTTTCCATATTCCTGAGGCCTTACATACTCCACGTGCAGTACTTGGATCAGCTGGGTGAGCAGAGTAAAGCAAACAGGATCTTATGTGTTCTGCAGCCCTATTTAGCAGCATCTTTTTAGTCACGTGAGCTCGTGTAAGAGCAGGGAAAAGGGTTACAGCAGCAAGCACACCGTGGTCCCTGGTAGAGCAAGAGGGTAGCTGGAAACATACCCTCAGGTGGAGGAACACCGGCCCAGTCTTACAGAGGGAGGAGCAAGAGAGGCACTAATGCAACCACATCCTTCCTTTTCTCCTTGCTTGGTTTGGGGAGACACTGCTGGGAAGGTGGATAGACACAGCCCTCAAAGAGCATTTGTCAACTAGAGCCTGCCCTGGAAACTCTCAGGTTTCCCTCAGTGGTGAATGCATCCTTTTGTGCACTGATGCAAATCAGAGCAGACTCTTGAAGCAGTAGGGGAGATGTTTAAGGCCAGCAAGGAGTTAGAAGTTCATAGATGAGCCATGCTCCCCTGCTTTAAAGGGGAGTGATCTGAGGGCATTAGCTTAATCTTGTGTTTGGGCTGTGGCTTTTACTGATGTACACATTTTGTCTCAGAGGAGGAGCATGAACACCTATAAGAAACATGAGAAAAGTTGTGGCGTTTCTTCACAGCATAAGCAGCTGCTAGCTGCCCAGCCCAGTACTGTGTCAGAAAAATAACCTTTAATGTATTCTTTTCAGTATCCTAGAAAAAGTATGTTTTGAATGAAAATCTTTCAACTTTACATAGTGAGTCTTCATACTGTCTACTATAGCAAAAGCATTCCTTGAAAACATGGATGTGAATTTCCTCACAGTTGAAACAGAGGAACAGACTTCACCTAGTTTTGAGACAGCAGGAAGACAGAGGGAAGGAGCAGTATCATAGATAGATGCGCTGCTGAGTCAGACCACATCTTTCATATTTTTTCCTCAGACAAATGAAAAGTCAGAGAAAACTGTTACTTAAGAGTCAGGAATGGAGCTCAGGTTGGCTCAGTAGTCACCAGAGAAAGTGTTTATCCATCCATCTGATGTCAGATCTTCCTTCAGCCTGTTGGAAGGATCTGAAAGCCAACTCACTGCAGTGAATTGAGCCCTATGAAAAACAGCTGTTCTGATCAGCATTTCTTGACGGTTTTTTGCTCCAGGCAGTCAAATCTACTTGAAGAGCCAGCTCTGGAACAGTTGGTGGTGAAGGGCACAGTTTTAACTAGAGAGTCAAGGAGGAGATAGGATGCCTCTGACAGAGTAGTTACAAACCAGCATGGAGATTGGTTTTCTCTAGATTGAATTTTGTAGTCAGCAGAGTGATACTAGCATATCTCTAACTGGGTTACTGAACAGTTAAAGTCAAACAAGTCCCCTAAGTACCTGCTTCATTTCTGACTTCTATTTGAGATCTAGTAGCAGTATACACTAGTTTTTATTAAAAAGTATGGGTACTGCGTGGCATTCCTTATATAACACAAGACAAGCTGCTTTTACCACCATCAACCATTCCCATGTGGTCCTATCTCTGAAAAAAATATCCGTGGTTAGAAGTTGTCAGACTCCGTCACTTTCCTGTGCAAGTGCCACACACAGCTCAATCCCAGCTGACATCTGCACATGCTTGTGATGCAGGATGAAAGCAAAGGCCAAAAGAGCTGTTCCACAGCATGATTTCTATACTCATTGGAGCAACCATCTACAGTTTGTTAGTGCCTTGTGGCTCCTCTCTCAATTGTCTAATGTCAAAAATATTGCAACAGTTTCAAGAGAAAGATCTGTCTAGTTATAACCTCTAAAAGCACATTCATGTCTCAGCTGTTTTGAATCACAGACATGCAAAGGTCTAGGTTTTCCAAGGTTTATGGTTAGATTACATGAAAATGTGACTCACTGTACAAATTGTACAATAAATGCTCTTTTTTCCCCTGTTATTTAAAGACACTTAATAAGGAAGTATTTTTAAAAGGTCTTCACAATGCATTACATGAAATCTGATGGGGACTTCTGTAGCTTATTTGTAGTGTTGACCAGAAACACAATTTTATGATCTGGGCTCTTAGCATTTGCTGCACCAGCTTACCTCCACATGCCTGTATATTTTTAATTTTTCTTTTAGCCAATACAAGTCAAGTTGGACAAAGCTGTAAGTCTTCAGAGTGCATCATTTATGGGCTAGTCTGTATGCTCTGTGAGGCTTCTCCTTGCTTGCAGGCACAGAACGAGGAGCTAAGCTTACCCCCTTTTGGTTTCATCACTCACTAAATTAACTGCTGCACAGCACCACAGACATATGTGACACAATATATTCCATTCATTTTATTTCTCCAACCTGACCTCATGTGCTGGCAGCCCTGGCTGCTAAAGAAGTTAAGCTGCGAGTGGGTTAGCAGTGGAAGACATGCAAGCTGGGTGATTTGCCCCTTGCTGAAATGAAGTTTAAAAAAAAAAATTAATCCATTAATGTTAGTATCTTCAGCTGCAACCAGTGTTGCCAAGACAGGTGAAAGCTTTTCTCTCAGTAGTATCCTACACAAGGATCCACCTGACAGAAGAAATGAAACTAAAATTCTTGGGCAAATTGTTTTAAGAGGCTCTATTCAAGAAATAGGACAAAAGGGATCACAAAAGTCAAAACAAGTGTTCTTACTCTGTTTGTATACTATTTACATATTGTGCCTGCTGTCCTGGGGTAGAATGTCATTTCTGAGAACAGAAGTCTGTATTTTAGGATATAATGTCAGTCTTGCTTGAGTCGGAGTGTGCTTGCCTAAAGTGCCGGATTTTAAAAGAAAAAAAAAATCTTTTTATTTTTGTAAAGTTATAGAAGATATTTTTCTTCTCAACTATGTTCCAGATTAAACTGCTGGGGAAGTTTAAGCACTTGTTAAACTATTGATTGAAATAAAAAAAAAAGCCTAACTGTAAAATTAAGGATTCTTTGCCTCCTCTACATGTTAGTTTCCTGTTCTGTTGACTCTCTAAGTGTAAAAAAAAACGTTAGGTGTCTTGGAAAGAAACAGCCAAAATCCTGACTGTTGAATAACTTGTGCACATAAAAGCTCATTTTTTACTCCATACACATTTTTTGTTTCAGAACACATCTGTCACTAGGAACAGTTCCAATGGATACAGATATGGGATTTGGGGTTCACAGCACATCTTCAGATTTTCTGAATAAAATCGTGGCTGAAGATGCCCAGTGAGTAACAAGAGAATGTAGTCAGGATAGCTGTGTCAGGACAAAGGGTATGGTTCATGAAAAACCAAGTGGTTTTCATAAGTGAGATGTAAACAAACAAACTACTACTGCTATTTCATCCCAGTTGCTTTAAGGGCTACAGCCTGGGGTAAGGAGCAGGGATATTGGAAAGGACACATCTTAAAAAGAAAGAAAAACCTGAAACCATGAAGGGAAAGCAAGACACAGGATAACAGAAGTACCTTTGCTCAGCGCTCTGCAGTTTCACTCCTGCCTCGCACACAGAAAGAGATGAAATGCAGTCTTTGAGCCTTCCACCACCACAATCAAAAGCTTTGGAGTTTACCAGTTCCCGAGTTTTTCAAAGTGACTCAGGAGATCCCTGAAAGATGAGTTCTGTTTTCAAGAAGTATTCTCATAATTACAAGGTACTCCAAGTGCAGTAGGCACAGCCTCTGAAGTGGCCTCCCTTCCTCACAAAGCAGTGAGTATGGAGGAATTCAGACAATTTATTGCCAAATTCTGCAAGAGTCTACTTGGCATAATTTACTCAGTCCTGACAGAATGGGGAAGGGCAGGTAACAAAAACCAGCTCCACTCATTCTGGTTCATTCTCTTTCATTAATTTTCCATAATTTTTACTCTTTCTACAAGTATTTTTGTCCTTTTAGTCTTCTCCTGTAGTGCCATCACTTTGGATTTTATTCATTGCCATTTGCTACCAGTAATAAATAATAATAAGAGACTCCACTTCTGAATGGGGCAGAGACAAACACAGTTTTGAGGAATCATACCATGGGTACCATTAACAGCCAAGGCAGAAGTGCTGTTGGCCTGAGCAATTATTTATCAGCACCCTCTGCCCATCCATCTTCTTCACAAGTCTGCTCCCGGGTATAGGACCAGTCCATGGGATGGATTCTAGCTAAGGTACTAGCAAACCCTGAGGACAGTAATTAATTCCTCCATGTCATCCAATAATGATAACTGCCCATGATCACCACCTTAATGCAGGCAGACATCTTTTCCCATGGGAACCACAGGGCTCCTCTTCTGCTGCCATTTCCAAGATGCTCTGTTGTAAAATGAGAAAACAAGCCACACAGGGTAGTGCTGTCTTCATATAAATAAATGAAAAATGCTGGGAGAAAAAAGTTTATACTTGGGAATGTTGGGCATTAGATCTCCTAGATTAACACACAGTAAAAATAACAGAATCAGATGTATGGACTTTAATTCAAATGACAGATGCTTGCTGGACAGACACATGCATAATTAATTTATTTAAATAACTGCCCAACTACTGAATCCTTTTGCTCTTAGCACCAACCAAAGAACAAAAAATAATCAAAATTATGGGCATCAGTTTTATTAACTGCTCAGTATGAGAGCCCACCTGCGTCTGCAGTGCTGCATCCAGCACCAGAGCTCTCAGCACGAGAAAGACGGACTTGTTGGAGCAGGTCCAGGCAAGAGCCATGAAGATGATCAGGGCTGGAGCACTCTTCTTATGAGGAGAGGCTGAGATTTGGCATTATTCACTTCAGAGACGACTCCAGGGACACTTTAATACTGTGTTTCAATGTCTACCAGAAAGATGGGTACATTTTCTAGCAGGGCCTGCTGCAATAGGTTAAGGGCAAAAGGCTTTAATCTGAAGGAGGATCGATTTAGATTGGATATTAGGAAGAAATTCTTTACTGTGAGAGTGGTGAGGCACTGGAACAGGTTGCCAGAGAAGCTGAGGATACCCCATTCCTGGAAGTTTTCAAGGCCAGGTTGAATGGGGCTTTGAGCAACCTGGGAGATGATCTTTAAGGTCCCTTCCAACCCAAGCCATTCTAGGATTCTCTAAGGCATTTCTGGAAACAATCACGTCTTCCAGCAAACACTACAAACAATAGTTTCAACACGACAAACAAGAGACACCCAAGCCCCTAGACACTCCGCCGCCTCCTGGGAGGCGGGAACGGGGTGAGGAGGAGCGCCCGGGCCGGGCTGTCCGGGATTCGGGAGCGGGATGAGGAGGATTGCCCGGGCCGGGCTGTCCGGGATTCGGGAGCGGGATGAGGAGGAGCGCCCGGGCCGGGCTGTCCGGGATTCGGGCGCGGGATGAGGAGGAGCGCCCGGGCCGGGCTGTCCGGGATTCGGGAGCGGGATGAGGAGGAGCGCCCGGGCCGGGCTGTCCGGGATTCGGGAGCGGGATGAGGAGGAGCGCCCGGGCCGGGCTGTCCGGGATTCGGGAGCGGGCCGGGGGCACGGCGCCATCTGGCGGCCAGAGCCTGCGGACACCGGTTCCCCTCACAGCTTGCCCCCGCCAAAATCCAGCGGGAACACGGCGAGAGAGCGGGGAGGGGGGCTCACACCCTGCCAATCCACCGGACTCTCTCCGCTTTATCAAGCAAAAGCAAGGGGAAAAAAAAAAAAGAAAACAGGAAACTTGAATGAATAACAAAGCCAGCTTCTCTACGGAGACCATGGTTTTAGCGCACAGAAAATAAAGCATCCATCTTTTAAAGCCAATTCACGAGTTTCCCCTGAGGCTCAGACTAACGCTACAATTTCATTCCACATGATGCATGATGCTGTCTCCTCACCAGAGGGGCGCACCATCCATGCGAGCAGTAGTGATAAAATAAATCAGGAATTGCACTCGGAAAAATGTGAAGATACGCTTTCAAAAGCTAGGAAATGCCAAAGTGAAGCTTTGCCCCTGCAGCCTTCATTTAAGCTCCCCTTGGATGCCCAGTGCCATTATGATCCGGCAAAACTTTCTGAACCTATGCACTAAACAATTCTCTTTTCTACACTCTGCAAGGAAATACAGGGGAAATGGTTACATGGTTTAAACTATACCAATCAGTTCTGCATTTATGTGTTTTCCATAGAAGGAGAATACTGCTACTAAACTGGCAGCCTTGCATTGCCTCAACATATGACCATCTGTCCATATTCAGAATTTGTCCAGGAATGTATATATAGGTAGCAACTGAAAATTGTTATGATCTGTACACAGCACATGTGAAAGTACTTTATCCGGGGAATTACTGAAATTTTTTATGAGAAATATCACACACTCAACTAAAACTAAGAGCTACATAAATTCTCAAATACACTAAATATGGGGGGAAAATTATAGAATTTTGACATATACACTATAATTTTAAATCTTACATTATTATTGTCTCATCCTGTTATAAAAGCAAGTGCTTTAGTTTCCATGATCAGAAGATAACTATCCATGTATAGTGACACAGAAGGGAACATACAAGACTTAAGGATCATCAGGCATGAGACCGGGACAGATCTCCTGTAAAAGAAAAAAATCTGTATTTAAATTACTTAAATATAAAATTGCTTTTGCATTTACAGCAGAGACCTGTGCACTATACAAAAGCAGCAGCAATTTCTCCTGGATGTTGGAAATTCACCTTGTGTGAGCCTTCTGCTGCTTAAGCCTTATGTTTCTCTTTGAAGGTCTCAACACTTGTAGAGACTCAGAGTGCACTCCAGAGGGGTTTCAAACGAGATGGCTCCAATTTGGCAAGAAGGAAGGACGGGTGTTTGCACACAGGCCACCCTCAAAATCAGCAGTACTAAACTCAAAAATCAGGAGCAGCTGAAGGAAGAAAATGGATTAGAGGCAATTGAAGCAATTACAAGTGTACGATACAATGCAAAGCCCTCTCGAAAGCCAGTCCTCTGTAACCACTAGCCCACAACACCCCACCCCAGAAAGATTGGTGTTCATGACTCAGATGTAAATATGAACACATACAGACACAAAAAATGGTTTTGCTAAACCCCCTTGTCATGCCTGCCCAGAGGGCAACTAATGAGCTGGTGTAGCTCACCTAATGTGCTGTGCTGTGTATGCAGAACACCAGAGGATTCTGGTCACACACTACTGTTCCCTGCTGCTCTCCCTGAGCAGTAGCTAAGGAAATCAAGAGGTCCCTTCCATATGTTTCTGGTTTACTTTTGATAAGCTGCTTCATTTCTAAACGTCTACTTCCACAAACGCAACCTCTACACACCTCACAATGTGGATTTAGAAACCTGCAATTTATACAAAAGCTCTGGTCTATAAGAAGCTTTGAGCTCTGTTTTGGCTCCTCTGAACAGCAGACTTCTCCAATCTGTTTGCAGTCATTGAACCATTAGTGTTTCTGAAGTGCCCAAGTAGAGCAGTGAGGATGCATAACATGCAGGATTATACTTTCTTCCAATTTTTAGCATTTTTCAGCCCATTTCTTAGCAGGTTTCTTGGGTAACCCATTCCCTCTCCCTAGTAGATCAGGCAGTCTCACCTCCACACCCCCTCCATGAGCTTAGTCTGGTGACAGCTCTTGCCCCACTGTTCCTGCCAACCTGCTCCCTTGTAGCCCACTCATCTCTCACCCCATTGCTGACAAGAGCAGGGCCACCACCACCAGCTGCCAGGGTGTTTGATCTGTGTCCATGCTCACAGCTTGTCAAGGATGCCAACAGCAGCAAGAAGAACAGGTATCTTTCCAGCTTGCCACGCAGGCTTGCCCAGGCTGGGAGACTCAATTTAAATGTCTTTCATCCAAGCTCTAATCTTCCTTTAATTGGAGGTAATTGGTATCTGCAAAACATACACCTATCAAATGTGGCTTAAACTAGATTTCAAATTCACACAGAGAACAGCAACATTAAAATTCTGCAATCACATATATCTTGTCTCTTTGTCTCTTTTAAGTCAGA